GGGGGGGGGGGGGCTGCAAAATGGTGATTTCCTTCTTTCTGCTTTTATTAGCTGTGATTTCTCTCACAAAGAGCTCCCCTGCCTTTAGAAGTCATCACTATGGACTCGTGGATTTTAAAAAACATGTTCTCACTCATTACCCATCTTTAAAATTTTTTTGTGATAAAATATTCAAACTATTTCAACTGCTTGTAAATGTTCAATTCTGTCATCTTTTTATGCTCAAAAGGCCCCAGATTTGCCCGCGGGAGCCGCTCGACGGCAGCTTCCTCCCCCTTTGACTCGTCCCGGGCATTTCCTGTAGCGTTCCCGCACTTGCTCCGTTCCCGGGCCTGCCTTGAACCCTCGCCCCATCTGAATTCAGCCACTTCTCCGAGGAGTTCTGGCTCCTGTTAGGGGGGATCTTGTTTGGGGCCCAGAATCTGGGCTCTGGGTGTGCGCACGGCCATGGGGGTCACTGCTCCTCGACCCTCAGCAGACAGCTAGGAAGCCCCTGTTCAGATTCCCGCTAAGACCCCAGCGCCACCCCTGTGCCCCCTCCCTGTGCCCGGACAAGTCTGTGTCTCCCTTCGGAACAGAGCTGTTGAAATGTCTCTGGGAAGGACCCGCAGAGAGGGCTCAGCACAGGGGCTCCTAACACATAGATGAGGCCGGGGCCCTTTCGGCCAAAGCTCAGGGCTGCTCAGTGGATGTGGTCAGGGGAGGTTTAGAGACGCCCCTGTGGCCTGAGTAGGTTGTGGGTGCGGTCAAGGTTGGTGACCGTGAGTTTCTGGTCTCAATTCTTTAAAACATTTACTTTGGGAAATTGGTAGAAAAAGCAAAGGGTCGGATGGATAGGAAGCACTAGCTGGTGCCGGTACCTGGCAGAGGTCACCTGCAGGGGGTCCCTTCATCTTTTCCACATGTACAGGGTGTCCCCCAAAATGTACACACACTTTGAATGATTGATTATAAAGTCAGTGTTCATTAATATACAGTTCCTTTTCAAAATTTAAAAGAATCTACAGAAATGAATAATTTTTTTGTCAACACCTGTTTTCAAACTGATGACCGCTCTGGTCCAGGCCCTGCTGGTAACGTGAAGCGATGGAATCGCAAACATCAGGAATCATTTCGTTCGGTGTCTGTGCGCCCTCCACTCTTTGTTACCGTAAACTTGATCTTTTATGTATCCCTGTAAAAAAGTCTAGTGGCACTTTAGGATAAATTTTCTTTGTTCAAAGCTTAGTTTGGCTTCACCCATTATTTCAAATTAGTTAAACCTGACCAAGAGAGAAAACTGAGTCATCCGCTGTTAGCGTGTATATACATTTCTATGGGACACCCTATATACGAGCATGGGCTTGGAATGCTTTGAGTTTTTCCACCTGCTAGGGTTTTCCTCCCACTTGTACTGGGTTCCTGGGGCTCCCATGAGAAATGACCACAAATTGGGGGCTTCGAACAGTAGTCGTTCACTCTCTTCTAGCCTGGAGACCAGGAGCCCAACGTAGGGGTGTCGGCGGGGCTGGTTCTGAGGCTGAGGGAGCCCCGTGCCGCTCGGTCCTGGCTGATGGTGGTCTCTGGCCTCTGGGTGCCCCGGCTTGTGGAAGCAGCTCCCTGACCTCCGCCCCATCTGCACGCAGCGTTCACCCTGGGTGCGCGCGTCTGTGTCCAAATTTCCCCCTTTTTCTAAGGACAGCCGTGACCTCATTTTAACTTAATCACTTTAAAGACCCCTATCTCTGCCCGGCTTGTGTGGCTCAGTGGGTGAGCACTGACTTAGGAACCAGGAGATCACTGTTCGATTCCCAGTCGGGACACAGGCCCGGGTTGCGGGCTCCATCCCCAGTAGGGAGTGTGCAGGAGGCAGCTGATCAATGACTCTCTCATCATTGATGTTTCTCTCTCTCCCTCTCCCTTCCTCTCTGAAATTAAAAAATATATTTAAAATAAATAAAAAACACGCCTCCCATCTCCAACACAGTTACATTCCCAGGTGCGGGGCACTAGGATTTCAACATATGAATTTAGGGGACACAGTTCAGCTCATCACACCCCTGAACCTTAGACTCCTGAGACGCAGGGGGACTGTCCACAGCTGGTGCGCTCCACGTAGGCGTCCTTCATATATCTCCAAGGACGCCTCTGGCTGATTCCCAGAGGGCTGAGCCGTCTGGAGGCTGCTGACAGTGTCCCCAGAAGCACCTCTCCTCACACCACTGCCAGGAGTATGAGCGCCACGTGCTCGCCCGTTCCAACCCTGACCTTGCTCTGCTTTGTCTCTGGCGGTAAATGTGCTCCCTTGCTGCTCCTGTTTTACTTACAGATGCACAAGGGTATTTTTATACATACGGGACATGCGAGCAGGCAGGTGCAGAGGGGCCTCAATCTTTCCCCAGGGCTGTGGTTTGGGGGGAGGAGCAGGAAACAAGCAGGGCAAGCCCTCCATGTCGAAGAGGAGCCCCTAAAATCCCAGTGGGTGGAATGGAGGCCGGTGGAGGGGAGGCCCAGAGGGGAGAGCCAGGCGCCAAACTCCACAGCGTGTCCAGGTCAGTCCCAGGCTGGCAGCGTGGCAGGTGCCAGGAGCCCTGACCCCTGTGGGATCTGGGGAGGGGCCCTCAGACCTGGGTCTCAGGAAGAACAGTGGCCCTGGGAAGGCGAACACCCTGGCAGACGCCTCTCTCCACCACTGGGTGGCGCTGAGCCTCGGCGAGCGAGGCCCTCCCTTGGGGTGGCCCCTGGGGCTGACCCCCTGGCAGGGCAGAGTGGGTGAAGCAGGGGAAGCCACCCTGTGGGGGGGCAGGTGCACACCTGTGGGGTGGCAGGCTTCCAGGCCTCCAACCTCCCAGCTGGGGGCGGGGGTGGGGTCAATCCCATGGGTCAGGAGGCTACGGCTTCAGAACCACCTTCCTGTTTGTTAGAGGTTAAGAGCGGAAAGAAACCTGCCCTGAGCTGCTTGGGAGGAGCCGGGGTGTGGGATCAGCTGGGTGGACACCTGAGCCAGGCCCGTCTCCGGAGGGCACGACTGGAATGTGGGCCCCACTGGGGAGGGGGGGCTTTGCCTGACAGCTCAGTGGGTGGGAGGGGACATCCCTTCCTCATGGGCTTATCACTCTTATAAGGCCCTGGTGGGCAGATGGGGATACTGAGGCCGAGGCCAGGCTGTTCATTTCTCCTGCCCTCTCTCCAGCTTTCTGGGCCGGGGGCCCCAACAGACACCAGGATGTCCATACCAGGAGGGCAGTGGGGTTCACGGTGGGGGTGATTTGATCAAGAGCTACCCCTCTCTCAGGCCGACACCCCTCTCTCTCTGCCTCCCAGTCCTCTGGTTTTGGCCTCCATCTCCCTGTGCCACCCCCATAGGGCACTCAGTTCCCCAGCTTGCTCAGCCTGCCTTGGGAGGTCCAACCCTCTGTACTCAGTTTACCCCACGGTCACACCCTCGCTCCCACACAGCCCCGCCAGCCACCAGCCTCATCCGCCCTCTTAGGTGACTCCCTGGGGCGGGCCCTGGGCTGGGGAGGGCGGGTGCCCAGGGAGCCTTAAAGAGCTCCCCAGGTCCCCGCCCAAGCCACTGCAGCTCCCCACCATGGCCGAGACTGCCAAGCTCCAGCTGTTTGTCAAGGTGCCGGCGGGCTGTGCTGGGGGGAGGCCTTTGGGAGGGGGTGCTCTCTGGGGCTCCACTTTCTGGGGCGGGCTGAAGGGCGGGTCTCCTTGACAGTGTCTGTGCCCCCATCCCCTGTGGTGGGTGGGCTCAGGCAGCCCTACTGATGCTGAATAAAATGCGGTTAGCCTGGGGGGAAAAGGGCCAGTGAGTCATCCCCAAAAGGGGTAGGGGTGGCCCTGTCCCAACACCCAGCCTGGGTTCCTGGGTCTGGCTCTGCCCTCTTAGAGAAAAAGCCCCTCGGCGGGGAAGTGCCAACCAGGCAGCCAGTGGCCAGGCCCGAGTGGAGCTTGGGGTCAATGCAGCAGGAAGGGGAGGTGGGCTGGGCAGCCCCACTGGCGACCGGAACTGTGGAGCCCATGTAGAGCTGCCAGGCCTTGGGCCCCTCCCCACTTTTGGGGCACACGGCGGCTAGTGCTGCAGCCTCGGTGCCCAGTTGGCGTGTGAATCACTCAGAAAACAGCTCTCTTGGCCTACCCCACCCTTGAGACCAGCCTGTAGGGCCTGGAGCCCAGGGTCCTGGCGTCAGCCCCGTCTTTTTAGATAAGGGTTGAGGAGCCAGGCCCCAGATCCAGGGTCCCACCCCCCTGCCCGCTCCCAGCCTCCAGGCTTCCAGCAGCTCTGTGACCCTCTCCACCTCCCAGGGACCAAGTCAAGGGCCCTCGCCGGCCACTTGCAGAGGCTGTGCCCAACCAAGCAGGGGCCCTGGCATCGCTCCAGTCTCCTGGCAGTGGGAGGCCAGGTCCCACCCTGCCTGGTGGCAGGATTCCTGGGTCTGCTCCCTGCCCTGACACCCCTCAACTCCACCCACCCCAGGCGAGCGAGGACGGCGAGAGCGTGGGACACTGCCCCTCTTGTCAGAGGCTCTTCATGATCCTGCTCCTCAAGGGCGTGCCCTTCACCCTCACAACAGTGGACACGCGCAGGTGAGCCCCTGGCCCCGAGACCCCTTCCAGGCCTCTGCCCCCGGGGCCATTACCCCCTTCCCTCCTGCCCACAGGTCCCTGGATGTGCTGAAGGACTTTGCCCCTGGCTCACAGCTGCCCATCCTGCTCTATGATGGCGACGCCAAGACGGACACGTTGCAGATAGAGGAGTTTCTGGAGGAGACACTGGGGCCCCCTGAGTGAGAACCTGGGCACAGCAGGAGGGGAGAAGACGGGGCACCCAGGGAGGGCACCCCCAGGACAGCGCCCGGAGAGGGCGCTGTGGGCTAGCAGAGGCGGGGTGGCAGGGCAAGGGCCTGACCCGAGTCCCCCCCCAGGTTCCCCAGCCTGGCGCCCCGCTACAGGGAGTCCGCCACCGCGGGCAACGACGTCTTCCACAGGTTCTCCGCGTTCATCAAGAACCCGGCGCCCGCGCAGGACGACGGTGAGGCGGGTGGGGGGCGCCTCGGCGAGGC